TTATATAACAATATAATAGGGAAAATCTATGATTTCAAAAAACTAGAAGCAAGCACTCAAATGTGCTCAAAAAGGTAGAAACAATCTTAATATCTTTTGGTGGGAAAGATAATCATCTCATATCAGTACTTCATTATCTTAAAGATTATGGCATACTTTAATCATTGTAACCTAAATTTTCTTCCATAGAAGATGGAAGAGTTTTACTTTTAAAAAAAAAAAAAAATGGTCTGGACATGCTGGTGTATGCCTGTAATCCCTGCAGTCTGGAGGCCAAGGCATGAGGGTCACAGCAAATTTGTGGCCAAACTGGGCTATATAGTGAGTTCAAAGCCAACCTGAACTATATAGACTGTGTCTCAGAAAACAAAACCAAACAAAAAAGGAAAAACAAAACAAAAAAACCCTCCTCAAAACAACAACAGAACAACAAAAACCCCAGATGGTATGTTATAGATAACGTTTTGGTTTCATTTAGCCAGAGTGTGACCTCCTTAGCATTTATTAGCTATCACGTAGTGTTCTCAGTACCTCACATCAATGAACTCGGTTGCTCTTCATAGAAACTCTATGAGGTCTATGCTTTTAACCTCAGTTTATAGATGAGGACACTGAGGCACAGAGAAGTTAAGCTCCCCCAAAACATTGTGCATGCAGAATTCCTGTTCACATCATTCTAAGCTGTCACAACAAATGAAACAACACATGGTTAATTAATACTTTAAAGTATTGTACTTATTTAATTTTTATTTGACATATCATTTTGAGAATTATGGACAGTGCAACAGTATGTAGTTAATTAGTTTTATTATTGTTAGTAGCTAATATTAATGATAAACATTTGAAATAATAATTTAAAATTGAATGTTCAAACAAATCAACATTGCTGAATCTGTTGGTTCAAATGTACCGTATAGTAGTCACATTTTATCAGAAATAACATAATCCCATAATCCCTAGGAAATCTAACTAGCGTTTGCTTCACTGAATTTAAATGCAACGTTAAGTGAAAGGAAGGCTTTTTGCTGTTGTTGATGTGTTTTTTAAATTTTATGTTCTAATCTGCTTACTTCATCCAAGCCATTTACTGGTTTTAAGTAAGTTAATGACTGTATTTCCTTTGTGAAATTATAATATTGCATTGAAAAGTAATAAGCCAGTACAAATTCCAGTACATGTTTACAGCGATGGAGTTTGATGGGGACCCATGTGTTGCTCTTTACTTGTTTATTAACAATTTGAAATAATAAAGTGTGAGGCTACTGGGAGAAGAAATGTTTTCTTAAGTCCTTTCTAATAGGTAATGACCACATGCATACTCATCATCCAGGCAGAGAGTGTGTGGATGTGCATCTCGGTTCCTCCTGAAGTCTCTGCTAGGCTTCTGTGGACCCCAGGGCCCAAGGGTGAACTTGCCTTCTAGAGACTCCTTCCTGGTCACTCCTCCCCAGTCACCTCGATTCTCTGTTTGATTCTCACAAAAACAATTCCTACCTTTTGTCAGAAATCAACTGAAATGTCTTCTGCTCTGGAGCTCATTTGATAAGGCATCTCACTGGTCTGCCTCTCTTTTGTTCTTCCTGAACTCTTCTCCCAGTCAGAATAGTAGGCCGAAACATGAGTTGTTTTAAAAGCTCTGCTTGATTTCTAGGATCAATTAAATGTTTCACAGAGTGGCACAGTCACAAGTCCCGCTTGTGAGCTTCTCTGTCACACCATGTTCTTCCCAAGCCCTGGATTCTCATCACAATTAATTTTCAGAGAGATTATTTTATATATATATATATATATATATATATATATATATAAAATGTGTGTGTGTATATGTATATGTGTAGTAAGCCTTTAAGAAATCAATAAAAATTACATTTATTTCTAAGCAGTTTTATGCACATTGTAAAAATACTTCAAGCTATAAATACACAGTAAAAATCTCTTGTAATCCTGCCTCCCGGGTAGAACTGGTGGTGACATTTCCCTAGATATAACTCTTGATGTTCATGAGTGACATCTGTCTCTCAAAAATTCTCAAAAAAATTGAATAGAAATTGCCACTTATACAAAAGTACCTGTACATTATGGTATTACCGTAATGTAATATTTATTTACATCAAACATTTTATTACACTTTGTCACAGATTCTGGTCCTGATGCTAACTGGTTGGCTTGGATCAGATTCTCTACTTAGTAATTCTGGGTCACTCTTTCATGAGTAAAATAAAGTGGAAAAACAAAATGAAACAAAACACTGAAACTAAAATACTTAATGTAGTTTTCAAAATCTCCATTTTGCCAGTGCAGGGAAGTAGAAACTCTTGTCTAGGCTGAATTTTCTCCCAATATGAATTCCTACCTTTTGTGAGCATTAACTGACTGAGAGAGTGTATGTGTGATTTTGGTGCATTCTAACCAGATGTTTAGTAAAATGACTTCTCTGTCTTTCCCCTAAATGTTTTATTTTCACATGTGAGGTGCTTTCCACATAGTGCTATCCCTGTGTCCATCACAACAAGCTTATGGGATAAAGTTGTCTCCTTCACTTAGACTGAGGAGTGGGGCCAGGCTGGGATGACCAGGCATGGTGGATGCAGGACTTCCACTAGGTCTGCTGTCTGCTGTGTCACTGCCAGTGTGGGCAGAGCATCTCCTGATACAGTTTCGTGTAACATATTCAGTAAACGTTGTTAATGAGTATTTTGTATATTAACACTGCTTATTTATCAAACTATAGCATGCTCAAATCATTCAGAGCTTGTCATGTGGTCATGTGGCTCAATCATGTTGGAAAAAAGATCTTGTATCTATATAACCCGCCAGCCCCACCTATTGAAATACTTCTAAGGGTTTATTCAGGGTTAAATTGAGGTTATATTAAGGACTAAAGAAGTAATTGGTACCTAGTATAATTTTATTTTTTATTTTACATATATGTGTATGTGTGTGTGCGCATGTGTGCGTGTGGACACATAGGCACGTGTGCTGAGGATTGTATCATGTATTTCAGGTTTTTTTTTTTCCCTTTGAAAGAAAATGATTTGAGCTGGGCATGGTGGCACATTACTGTTGTGGGGAACCGCTCAGACTGCTTCAAAGCTCAGGGGCATCTGAGGACACCTGAGGATGTGACCCCACCTGTGTAACACAGGTGTACAGTGGGACACAGTTATGTAACCTTGATTTAATGCAGATGAAAAATGTATGTGCTGGTTACAGTACTATGTAAGAATGTAAATATGAGATAACAACCTGCATAAGAATTATACAGTAAGGAGGCAGGCAGCTCTTGCTCTTACGTTCTGCTCCTTGTGGCCTGCTGTTGTTGCTGATGTCTTGCACACATGTGTTCTTTAACCTTGGGGCCTCACCCTTGAAAATCTCCCTTGGGCAACACCCCCCACCTCCAGTGGGCTGACAACTGTAATCCTGGGACTCAGGAGTCTGAGGCAAGAAGAATTGCCGCAAGTTCAAAGCCAGCCCGACTACATAGCAAGACATTGTCTCAAAAAACCACAAAAATGTTTTGTACTTCTTACTAGCAACAAAATATTCACTAGTGATTTAAATAAAAGTTTACTTAAAACTCACTTTCATTTCAGCCTTAGTAAACAAATGTTAATCTTGCAAATATTTTTACACTGAAGAGAGACTGATCTTTTTAAATGAGAATAGTTATATATGGTCTTTTAATATATATCTGAGTAAGGTGTCATTTACATACCCATGGATTATTTATCTCACACCTAAAATAGAACATTTTAAAATTTCACCTCAGTGAGGATTAGAATGGTATTTTTAGAAAAGCAAGATTGGTCAGATCACAGAATCTCTTTTCAACAATCCACTGGGTTTCATTGATATTCAAAGGAAAACCGGTGGGCGTTATTCTGGTAAGCAGTGCACATCTGCATATCTGTACATGTGCACATCCGCCACCAGACTGGTTGGTTGGATGAAAATTACCTGAACAGTGAAGCAGCAGTGCCCAACCCCCATCAGGCATGGACCAGAAAGTAAATAAAGAAATAGTAGTGTATGACAAGATCCCACCCTATTTGATTCCTCATGCGCTGAACTCCGAATAATCTACAAGAAGCACACTTGCCTTTGGAAACTTAATTTTGAGATTTTCTTCTGCCTGTAACAGTTGCAAAGGCCCCTACTTTTTGTTCTCTGTGGTTAGACAGCTTTCATAAATCAGCACCATCTGTTCTTCTTTTAAAGAAGCCTCTTGCTTCTTTGGTTGTGTGGAGTCTTGTGTATGTTTCAGGACAGGAAACATGTCATTTTTTTGGGAAATGGAAATTTCATGGGTGATGTTAAACACAGCATTTGATCAGGATTAGCTTGAGGTGAGAATGTTGGGGATCTGGTTGTAGTATGCAGCTCACATACAATGTGAACATCATAGGGACTGAATGATTCCTCATAGAATCCTAAATAATTTGGTGTTGAACTCTGTTTAGTAGAGCACAGTTTATATTACATGAATTATACTGTGTCTAAAAGTATAACAGCTATT